CATTGTGAATACTGTATCTGTTACACCTAGCCCATTATGCACCATGAGGAAGGAGAGAGACAATACTTACAGGTTCCAAAGATTTTATTAAGTCACAACATAAGTGGGTCACTGATCTATCAGGGCTTCAGGACAAGGACTCGGGAGCTTTATTCTTGTGACAGCCCCAAGCAGGGACAGGAGCGGGGTTTGTAAGCATAAAATTCACAAATATTTGTTGCCAAGTTACAGCTATAATTTTCACCAATCAGGATTTAGAGATTAGGGGCTTCCTTGAATGTTCCATCATTGTTAACCAATATACAATGCAAGCTTTTCAGTACAACTAATCAGATTCATCTGTTCTTTCTGTTGTTAGGAACAGCCATAATGTTTCTAGAGAACTAAAGATGTATAATGACTATAGTTTAGGGAGGAGGTTGATCAGCCAGTGGAAAGTTCTCAGCTCCCCTAGGGCTTGGGAACCTGAACTTTATTTCACCCTGCAGGTAAAATGGAGTCTGAAATCAAAATGGCAGTACTTGGGCCAAGGTGCTTTTGCCTGCCCCCTTCAGTATCCATGAGCTTGGACTGAACATGGTCATTTGTCAGTGTCCTTTTTCTTTGGTCTCTTTACACACAATCCATTAGAACCATCTTTTCCTCTGTATAAACTCCTTAAACACACACACCATTTTAAAAACTAGTCGCTCTTTGTCTCAGTTCAAGTTTTATTGCTGTGAAGAGACACCGGGACCACAGCAACTCTTATAAAGGAAATCACTTAATCGAGGTGGCTCACTTTTAGTTTCAGAGGTGCAGTCCATCGTCATCATGGTGGGTAGCATGGCAACATGCAGGCAGACGTGCTGGAGCTGAGAGTCCTACCTTGCAGGCAACAGGAAGTTGACTGAGCAGTATCCCGAGCATAGGAAACCTCAAAGCCCGCCCCTCCACAGTGACACACTTCTTCCAACAAGGCCATATCCACTCCAACAAAGCCACACCTCCTAATAGTGCCACTCCCTATGAGATTATGGGGGCCAATTATATTCACACTACCACACTCTTCTTCACTTGAAACTTGCCTGTCCCCCAGTAATTGCAAGATTGAAACCGAGTGATGGATGTCCAGTGGGTGGTAACCGCACCAAGGCACAGAAAAATGGCCTTTATGTTCCACTGCTACCAGACTCTACTATGTGGTAGCATGATTGTGGGGACATTCCCAAGGGTGACTACAGTGGGCACAGACTCTGAAGTAAAGGTAAATGAGATACTAAGGAGAATTTGTGAAAGAGAGGTTCCCATATGGGCTAGTTGTTCAAAGGCTGCCAGGCCTATGTTGAGGACTTTCTTTTTTTCTCTGAATGAAGCAATTAAAGACTAGGTACAGTAGCCAGTGTGGTTAAATAGCCTTGCAGCACTTCACTGTGCATGTTAGAGGGACACTGTGCAGGGGCTGGCCCTAAGGTGTCAGGGCAATCTCTTGTGGGTTTGCTTAGTGATTGCTTTGGGTTGCCTATTGTCCTGTTGATTTGCTTTTCCCTGCATACTGGAATCCCTGAAAGCAGCCTATTTTCTGGTTACAAAATCTTTATATTTAAGACACATATTACTTCCTAATTTAATGCTGAAAAATCAGAATATAGAAGCAAGATGGAAAACAATTATCTAATATTTCCTAAACATAGGGTGATTACCATTAGTATTTCTGTTGCTGATTTCCCAGACTTTTTGTTCTCTATAGCCTTGTGCAAATAAACACATATGTTTAAAATGTGAGTTTAAAGGGGCTAGAGAGATGGCTTAGTGGTTAAGAGCACTTGCTTTTTTAAGAGCTTTTGCAGAGGACACAAGTTCAGTTCTCAGTACCCATGCCAGGTTCTTACAACCTCCTGTAACTCCAGCTCCAGGGGATCCAGCACCCTCCTTTGGCCTTCAGGGACACTCACACACAAGTGCATAGACACACATAGACACAAGTAAATAAAAATAAATCTAAAAGGATGAGATTAAAGCTGATTTACTCTGTAAACTTTTTGAGCCTATGGCATGACCCATGTTCAGGTGGGAATGCACAGATAATCATGAGGAGATGCTACACTCTCCTTAACTCACAAGCATGTTTATGGCTTCTCAATTTTTCAATACCGTTGCTATGAATAGTTTTGAATAAGGATTGGCGTTCCCCGCGTTATGATTGTAAGGATTCTTTTAAAGCTAAGGTAGGGCAGAGAAAAGTCAGAGTGGAGCCTCCGCGTTGGCAAGGAAATGCGCATAGCTTTACTTCCGCCCACGGAAGACTTTGCAGCACGGGAGCAACAAGGGTGTGGTGAGACACCTCGGAGGGTTAAGTTCAAAGGCCAGTGAGTCGTCCTTAGGGACACTGCTGTTTGTCTGCACTGTGCAGGGAGAATTCTGCACTCCTCACAACCAGTGCGTGAGGAAACTAACCCTGACTTGCAACTTCTGGATTCCTCATTCCTTTGGGGCTCTCCCCTTTGTGACAACTCCTCACTGTGACTCGGCTTGGCACTGGCTTTGGCTCTGGGACGGCCCCACCCCACCGTGAACATGCTGAAGTTTTCCCCTCAGGTTATTATTCTCTTCTGGCCACACAATGTCAAGGCTGAGGCTTTCTGCCATGACCTACGGCACCTCACCCTAAGTTCCAGAAGTTTCTCTGGCTCTCCCCTTTCTGCACCACCAATAGCAGGAAGGGGAGTGTCAGGAGAGGAACGCTGCACCAAGGTTTGTGTGATATGACGTGGATTCTGAATCGCTCATGAAGTTGACCTGGGCAAAGGCCTTCCCTCTCCACCGATAACAAAGTGCCACTCCAAGAGAGCCAGCCAAAATAAGGGTAGTACAGTGGATAAAATGAGGTGCCTGTAACTGCGATGAGTCTGGTTAGGGTGCTTCCTGGGTGCGTGTCTATAACCAGACCTGCAGGAGCAGCGACATTCTGGTTGTCATTAAAACGCATGATCCCATAGAAGATGCTGTCCTTTCTCCCGTCTGATGTGACCAAGAGCCGCACCATGCCAGACCTGCCCCAGAGAGAAGGCGCATGCCCAGAACCTCCTCCAACTATGGTCTTGTCTCCACCTGGTTCTCATTACATTTCACAGCCTACCCTGTGTCTGGGATTTTCTTTGCTCCTTTATTTAAATAATTATCTTAGTTAAACATGTCATCAACCACAGGGGGGAAGCATCCTACTTTCCAGAGGAACTTGCTGTGTGTCAAAGCACAAGGCGACTATGAAGGGGCTTCTAATCCAGGTTTGCTTGGCTCCAAACTGCATACTTACAACTTTTTTGTGCTTGCTGAAGGGAAATTTTCTTGGCCTGGAGATCTAAAGGAAGCAGGAACTTTTGAAAGCTTTTTCTTTGAGATCCAAAATAAAAGTATGTCACCGACTTTGAGGTTCCCACCAGGTGACAGTGTTAGGGGGGCACTGAGGACGGACATCGCTTCCTGTACACAGGGAGGCAGGCAGTTGCTCTCTTCATGTGCGTCTTACACAACTGTAGAGAAAATCCTTTGGCTGCCAGCATTTTCCTTCCAGGGCTTGGAGCACCACATGCTCTTCAGAGAACTGCAAAGCGTCCGGTGGGGAAGAAACCCCTTTGGCCGCCCCAACCATCTGCTGTTCAAATAACATTCAAAAATCTATTTTATTTGTTTGCCTTTGAAAAACAAAGATTGATTTTTGGAAATAAATAAGCAGAATACTTTGGCTGAGCCAAAAGAACTCAGGACCTGGCCATCTGAAAATATTTTTGTTTAAACTTTGCTGTAGTTGTATATTAATCATTATATATATATATATATATATATATATATCATTACATATATATAAAATGATTAATATACAACTATAGGAGCTGAGATAGCCCCGTGGTTAAGAGCATTTGCTGTTCTTGCAGAGGATCTGGATTTAGTTCTCAACATCTACATTGGAGGGCTCGAAACCTATAATTCCAGTTCCAGGGGATCCAACGCCCTCTCCTGGCCTCCTAGGGCACTGCATGCATGTGGTACCAATATAGAGAAGCAGGCACACATACAGATAAGGGAGAATTTTTTTTTTTTTTGAAGGACGTGACTCTTAAAAGCCAGGTGTGTGAAGGTGGCACATGCCAGTAATCGCAGCTACATGGGAGAAGAATAACAAGTCCTAGCCCACCTCAGACTGCGCAGCAAGCTTCAAACTTTCCAAAGAACTGGAAATATCAGCTGACCTGCAGGGTTCTTAGCCAGCATGTATGAGGCCCTGGTTTCAAGTTCCACCACTGTTAGTTAAATAGATAAACAAAAACAGTAAGTAAGTAACTACACTGACAGCCTAGAGCAGTTTCTGCTCACAGACTGTTGAACTGGTTTTAAATGAAAAACTTTTGGGGATGACGTCAGTATGGTGTCAAAGTACTCACAAAAGATTTACAGAGCCTGAGTTTATGCTGATTTGTGCTCATGTGCAGAGAAAACATGGCCAAAAAGAGACAAAGCAAACTTTGGACTCGTGCACAGGCGGATAGGATACCACAGTCTAATGTCCTGTAATTACAAGCTGAGTCCTCTTCCAGGAACACAGCATGGAGCAAACTGCTTGCCCCGTCTGCAACCTTAAACGCTCCTTGTTTCCTTACCTTTAAAAGCATGCGTCTAGGAAATCTTACCCATCATGCAGTGCACACCTAAGCGTGCCTTCAGGGAAGAAAGCATAAGCCTCTATCAAGACTTTATCAAGACAGAAACATCGCACTCACCCCACAGGTGGCTGCTGTTCAGACACAGTTGCTTTGTTTCCCCTATTTTGGGACTTCCTATAAGTGGAATCACACATACGTGGTTTTCCATAAGACTTCCCAGAGTTGGAATAAGGTCTTCCATTCATTTCATCCATGTTTCACATATCAGCCATCCATCCATTTTGGCTTCTGAAGAGTGTTCCATTTTGTAACCCTTCTATTTTAAGCTAGGTTTTTATTTCGGGGATACATACCTTTTCCTTTTTTTTTTTTTTTTTTTTTATTGATGACAATTATTTCCAGTTTTTAGTCAAATAAAGTTGTTAAGAACATTCTTGTATAAGTCTTTTTAGGACACATGCCTTCATTTCTCTTGAATAAATGAATGGCCATAGTGGAGGTAAACATTTAATTTTGTAAAACAGTTGTTTTACACACACACACACACACACACACACACACACACACACACATACACATACACACACACACACCATCAATATAAGAGACACTCCTTAGCTGCCATTAGATGCTATTGGTATCTTGTTTTGGTTTTATTTTGTATTTCTTTGGTAACTGATGAATTTGTGCACTTCATGATGAACCTGTAATTAATTGATTCTTCAGATCACTGGTATCTTTTTAAAAACTGGGTTCTTTTTATTATCGACTTGCAGATACTCTTTATATACCTTTATAATAGTGTACATTATATGCATGCATGTTGGGGGTGGTGTGGTGCATGTGTATGTGTGCACTCTCTTCTCTCCTCCAGGCAGTGGAGATACTTCATTTTCTGACCTTTCAACCCAAAATGATGCCAAGGATTCTGCTGGCTTGGTGCCTAGGACTGTCCTAGCACAGAATAGGAGCTGAGTAAACTTACTGAAAGAATCAGTGAAGGAACCGAAGAACCAACTGACTTCTGGTCCTGATAATTTAGATAGTAATCTTGGTTTAATCACACAGCAAAGGTGGACTGAGGAGATGTGAATGCTCTCCTTGAACTATAAAGTGACTGATGCGTCCTCTAGTGCAACCCTGTCTAGTGTGCTGGAAGTGTCTACCACCTCCAGGTTCTGATTAGATTTGTCTGATGGGGCATCAGAATATCCACTTTTGAAGACTTAGGTACTTAACCTGGCTGAGACCCTCTCTCACCCTGATCACATGAGACGAATCTTACATTGCTGTGTCAGTGGCTCGGCTTAGTGCCTGGTGCTAGCATGTGGTGGCTGGTGGCTGGTTCCATCTGCAGGTAGCTGCTGGGAGATGTGTCTCTCTACTGTGGCTGGCATGAGACTGTGAGACTAAGAAGCCACGCCGGGCTCCATTTTAGTGTGTTTTGAACCTTTTCTTAAGCTTTCTCAGGTTTCATATGGATATATGTTGCCAGACATTTGGGTGTCATTTGTAGGCAGAGTTTTTCATTATGACTCCTGGCTCCCAAATAATCACACCGAGACTTAATATTAATTATAAATGCTTGGCTGATAGCTTAGGCTTGTTACTAACTGGCTCTTATGACTTGAATTAACCCATATTTCTTATCTACACTCTGCCACATGGCAGTAACTTTTTTCAGCACTGCATGTTCATCTTGATGCTCCCCACATCTCCTGGTGACTTCTCATGACCCCCCCTTCCCAGTACTCTCTTTTTGTCCACATGTCCTGACTAACCTCTACCTACCTAGCTCTTGGCCGTTTAGCCATTTATTAGACCAATGAGAACAAGAAATACCCACAGTGTACAAAAAGATTGTTCCACAGCAAGAAGCATTTTTCGTTGGGACTGTGGACACTTGACCATACTCCAGTGGATGGCCCCATACCCATGTACATATGGGCAGCACTAACTGAATAGAATGGACTATTTAGAAAGAAAGAAAGAGAGAGAGAGAGAGAGAAAGAGGGAAGAAGGGCATGAAGCTGGGAGAGAGGTGTGTTTGGGGGAAATGAGGGGATTTGAAGGAGGGAAATGGGGTGGACATGATATTTAATTGCATACATGTGTGATTTCTCAAAGAGTAAATAAAACAATAAAAATAAAAAGCTTGGTACATATATCTGTAATCCCAGGGCTAGAGAGACTAAGACAGGAAAATTCATTTAATTCTCGCTCCTGAGCTCCAGGCTCAATGGGAGATCTTATCTCAAAAAATAGAAGAGTGATGTAGGAAGACACCGATCTCTGGCTCTCACCCATACATACCACACACACACATACACATACACACACACACACATACACACACACACACATACACACACACACACACACACACACTAGAGTAGGGGGAGAAGACAGAGGGAGAGACAGGGATAGAGACTAAGAGATATACAGAGACAGACACACACACAGAGATAGACACTCACAGAGAGAAAGAGACAGAGACAGAATAGACTTTTACAATTCAAAAATTACTACATCACAGACATATATCTCTTGACTTACCTATAGTTTCTTTCCTGAATAACAGACTATAATTGTATAAACGTCCACCCCAAACTGTGCTTGCTAGATCATTTAACTTTTTACTACCCATCATACATTTTACCTTCCAATTCGAATTTACATGAAGATCATATAGTCTGTTACCTAACTGGGCTGATGTTACTATAACACAGATGCAGATTTGTGGTGTGCAAATTGGCCTCCATGCCTCATGACTGGTACATTTTAATTTCTGTTGGGGATTTGAAAGGTCACAATGTTCATACGTTGACACTGGGAAAGTAAAAGAAACAGAGTTTAGTTCTTTTGAGGCAATGACCACTGTGCTTAAAGACTAAATTCTTATCGACCCACTGCTGGCTAGGTAGAGAAGAGCTGTATTTGGCTTGCTTTCTTTTCTTTTTGAGACATTTCACATTGTAGCACAGCATGATCAAAAACTCATTATGTAGATCAGGCTGGCCTTAAATTCCAGACAACCCTCCTGCCTCAGCCTCCCAAGTTCTGGGATAATAGATGTGAGTTGCCACATCTGGCTTTGGTTTTGCTAAGACTTTATTATATCACCTGTCTCCATAGGGACAGGATGGCTCAAACAGCCCTCACTAGAATTCCCGTTGCTGCTGGAGTATGTGGTGGTATTGTGTTCACCAAAATATTGTGTACCTTAATAAACTTACCTGGGGTCAGAGAACAGACAAGCCACTAGTTAGTCAGTGATAGCACACGCCTTTAATCCCATAGATATCTGTGTGTTCAGGGTCAGAGCTATTAGAGCCATAGCAAGAGTGTGGCGGTGGTGGCACACGCCTTTAATCCCATAAGATCTCTGTGTGTTCAGGGATACAGTCAGCATTGGAGACATATGCCTTTAAGACCTAGGGGGCTGTACATTCAGACAGTGACGAGGCAGTCATGTGTTTGGGTTTACAACCAATGAGAAGGCAGAACAACATACTATAAAAAAACAAACCGACAGGAAGTAGGTCTCTTTTCGTGAAGCTGGGACAGCAGGAGGAAGGGTGAGATTTTAGCTCTGAGCTCTGACTTCTCGGCTCTCTCTTTTACATTGTTTCTGTGTTTCTTATTTAATAAGACGGTTGGTTACATCTACAGGAGTATTTGGTTATTATGTGTTTAAGCCCACAGGATGTGGGGAGAACATGCATTTATAGAAGCAGACATTTCCCTCCACCTCCTAGAGAAGGTGCCCAATTTTAACTGCCATGGAATCAAAGCTATGACAGAATCAGAATAGTCTAACTTGAAAAGTCTGAAAGAGCACAGAGGTTGTTCTAAAGGCGAAGTTTGTCTCTAAACTAGTAAAATTATGATTCCTACTCTATTTGCCAGTTCTAGCTGGGAAAGGCCAGAGACATAATTCTATTAGTTATGTAGCAGATTATATTCTATGAGTCAACGCAATATTACACAATGCTTCAAAATTAATTATTTTGTGGAAACAAAAATTCTCCTGGCTTATGTGTAGATGAATGAGTGGGATGATAAAAGTTCACACACTGCCGGATGAGGGTGGGACTTTTTAAAATATGTTTCATAGTAACTGTTATATACCTCAACTCTGCAATTTAAAGTTAAAATGAGTGTATATGCTCCATGTAAAGCATATGCATTTTATTAATCAAGTATTATGCTCAATCTTTTGTTTTTTTGTAGGACCAGCAAAAATCCACCAATGTGGTCTACCAGGCCCACCATGTGAGCAGGAATAAGAGAGGACAAGTGGTTGGAACGAGGGGAGGATTCCGAGGATGTACCGTGTGGCTCACAGGTATTACACTCTCTCTCTCTCTCTCTCTCTCTCT